GTTCACTTGCAGGACCCCATATGGGGTCGCGACTCACGCTTTAAGAAGCACTGCTCTAGACCAGGGGTAGGCGAACTGCAGCCTTCCAGCTCTAGACTAATCCAGAACTTACAGTCCATATATAATGTATTGTGCTAAATCTCTATAGCATGTATTCTGATTGTGTCAGGATTAGAGCAAATGGCATTGGCATGGTGTTCCATAGAGAAGATGTATAGTAGAGGTGAGAGGGGACCATGTTTTTAGATTTAAATTAGAAAGTGATTGGTTCAAAGTAAATTATCCAATCAATATATGAATGTTTAAAATGTTTCTCACTATAATAATTTGTAGTCATACATCGCATGGGAACAGCCTTAGCCCTCGTTCACACCTGAACGTTTTGTAGCGCGTTCTACGCCCGACGAACGCTCTACAAAACGCTCAAAAATAGAAATCCCATTGTATTCAATGGTCTCGTTCCCACCTTGGCGTATTTCCGCCCGTCCCTAACGCGCTACAAAACGGCCCACGCCTGAAAAGGTACATGTACTACTTTGGGCCGTTTTGTTGAGCGTTTCCATTGGGATACAGCCAAGTAGCCTTCGGAAACGCGCGTTTGTCACGTGACTTTTTTTTACCGCGAATCGCGGTAAAAAATGTGCGCCAGTCGCGCGACAGACGCGCATATGCAATACGCCTAGGTGTGAACGAGACCTTATTGTTTATTATATATTCAGGCTTCTTTCTTAGTAGTGCTAAAGAAAGTTGTATCTTGCTAACCTTCTCATCTCAATTTAATCTTCAATCCAGTAAAAAAATTTCCACTAGATATCCTCACTCTGATTGTCAGCATCATTCAACCCGCTTCCTCTGAGCCCAGGTCATCCTAGACTCTCCCCAACCTGTGGCTGAACAATGAAGAAGGAGCACAGTGATAAGCTCACCCCTCTGCCCAGTGGCGGAGCTAAGGAACAAAGGGCCCTGGTGCAAGATTTTTTACTCGGGTACACTGCTTGTATTTAACAAAATGTATTAATTGATGTATTAGTATTCACGGAGCTGCATTAATCTGTGACTTGTACATCTGTCTAGAGCTCAGCATTAAGCTCTGAGATGCTAGTAGACTGTCAGGGACTCAGGGGGGCCTTTCCTCACCAGGCGCGTGGGCTTCGGGCACGGGCTCCTCTTCCTCCTGGCAGGGCATCTGGCGCTGGTGTGGCTGGTGCGCATGCACGAGTCGTGCGCCGGGTGCGTTTGCGTGGTGCGCAAATCAGCGGCCATCTTGGTGATTGACGCCGGCAGAGAGAGGACTGTGAGTCATTTTGGTGTCACCCCTCCAATGGTGTCACCTGGGTGCGGGCCGCACCCCCCTTGTGACGCCACTGCACCCAGCTCCCTCCTGTGAACCTGTTTATTGATCTGACTTCCTGGCTACCGACCCTTTCGCCTGACCCTTCGACTACAACTCTTGCTGCCTGCCATGGCCCGGAACTGGACTTGACTACTCTATTTGGATTACCCTTTTGTACTGCGATTTTTGGACATATTTCGTCCCTGCCAAGGGGTTCCTCTCCCGACCCATTTTCTCGGCCTGACATAGACATGTGCAATTTGTTTCCGAAAGATTCGTTATTCGGACAAGTTTTAGTTATTCAGAGATTCGGATGTATCTGAATCTCTGAATGACAGAATTGACAAATGAAAACGAATCCGTATTTCCGAAAACGAACATTTCGGATGAAATTCGTAGCGGTAGTCTGTAACAAATTTTCGTTGCAGCAAAATGACATTAGACACAAAAATTACTTTTTTTTTTTACAGTCTGCAGAAGAGGAAAAAGCGTGAGGTTCTCCCCCAATTGATCCCAAACCTTATTGGTCTGGTAGGAATGTTAGGAGGGACCTATGAATAGTATTCGGGAGCTCACATATAGGATCCGGAAGCTTCTGAATGCTATGTGGTATTTGACAGCTGAGAATGTCAAATGGGCA